GTTGTAGCTCTTATAATAACTGATTCCATTAACAACTGAAAAATACTAAATGATTAACAGTGCCATGTTGTGCATGGGTGGTGTCCCTGTTAGTACTTTTTGTGTGCATTGTTGAGGCCACATAAGAAGTCATTAGTTATTACATTGGATTTATTAGCAGGACAAGTTAAGTTCTTTTTAACTTAAAATATAACTTAAAACATTACCAAAAATATTAAACAAAATATAAACGTATTAGAATAATACGAAAAATAAAAAAAAGAAAAACATATTAACAATTACAACGATGGGCCTCCTTGTACCTATGGCCACCCCACTTTATTTGAATTCTAAAATGTTCTAAGTTATGCTTCTCAGTCAGGGAATTAGTTTAAAAAAAAATTATTTTTTAATTCTATTTTGATTCTCTAAGATTGCTAAATTCTGATTGGCGAAGAGCATTTTTTTTCGCGGCTGTTTTCGGAACACCATTTAACGCGAAGAGTTCTTTAATTTTGCTCAGAACTATTAGACAATTTTAGTTATTTATATACGTGTTTCAATCAAATTGTCTACTAAATATTTGTATAATTATCTACTTTTTTTTAAATACTTTACAGTGATGTATAGTAATCTGATACTTATATTTAATTAATGAGAGTTGTAAATTTTGCTAGATACATTTTATCATCTTAAAATGTTTTTGCTTTGATATATTTATTTTAAATCTTTGTGATTTTTATTACATTTTAGTTACTTCAAGTATTGCTGTTTTTTTCTCTAGCTTCTTACAGCTTTATTTTGCCGCAAATTCTTAAAACGCTTACTAAATAAAATGTGGTCAAGTGGTCTAAAAAAATTACTTTAAGCATGGACGAACAAGGTCTGCAACCGCACGCGCTTCCTGGAAGGGCTTGATGTATTTACATATAAATATATATGTAGTAGTAATAGTAGTAGTAGTAGTAGTAGTAGTAGTAGTAGTAGTAGTAGTAATAGTAGTAGTAGTAGTAGTAGTAGTAGTAGTAGTAGTAGTAGTAGTAGTAGTAGTAGTAGTAGTAGTAGTAGTAGTAGTAGTAGTAGTAGTAGTAGTAGTAGTAGTAGTAGTAGTAGTAGTAGTAGTAGTAGTAGTAGTAGTAGTAGTAGTAGTAGTAGTAGTAGTAGTAGTAGTAGTAGTAGTAGTAGTAGTAGTAGTAGTAGTAGTAGTAGTAGTTTTTGCGAGCCCTTAATCTGCATTTTATGAGCCCTGGCGCTACTTAAAAAGCCCTCATGCTACTTCACGCGCCCTTATGCTGCAATTTGAGCCCTCGTGCTGCAATTTGAGCCCGTTTGTTGGCAGCATAAGGGCTCTCTGCGCCCTTATGTCACGGGCTTTATTTGTGAAAGTAATCGAGTTTATGTTGTGATTTAGAACTATAACATTTAATAAGTATGCGTACATATATATAAAATAGTATTATTTAGGATCTCAAATCAGACTTTTATTTGATTATGATAACATAAAGATAATAATTATTTATGGTTTTATTTCTTAACTATGTGGTACTTTTTTATCTGTTTTTAAATTAAGCCAATATTTAATAATTTTATTTATTTGTCCAAGCATTATTATTAGTAACATTAACATGAAACGATTTTAAAAGCATTTTATATTGATCAAGAGTGTTTCAACTAAACTTTTTTCAAATTTTATTTTAAATCATTATAGGACTTTTATATTGTAAATGGTTCCTGCTTATCCAAAGCTCCTTCTAATATATTCAATATGTTATATAATTTTTTAAAATACTTTGGAATAAAAGAGTATGATTAAGAAAATGATTAGGTTGTTTTCATCTTCGTTTAATTAATTTTATTTATTTTTCTAAAACACTTTTATTTCAGTTTAGTTTCAGTTTAATTAAAATGAATACTTGTTCCATTTGTCAACTAACCTCATTTACAAGTTTATCCTGTGCTTTATGTACAAAAATTGTTGGCACCAAATGTCAAGGTATTAGAATCAATGAATACAATGTGTGAATACAATGCTGTGTAAAAAACTTGTACAGGTATTTATATATATATATATATATAATTTTAGATAAAATATGGATAAAACCTTAACAAAATTCTGATGAGCTTTTTGTTTTATTTTTGTAAAAAAATGTAATTTATAAAGTATATTGATTAAATACAATTTAGGCTCATGTTAATCATTCATTAGGTTACACTTACTTTAACATAATTCGGTTCCTTATTTGAAGTAGATTTTTCACATATGTTCAAAATCTTGTATCTTTATTTAATAGAATAATTTTTCTGAAAAAAGTTTTTTTACTAATTAGCAAGTCTATTAAGTGCCAACTGTTTTTAATCCTTTTTATGTCCTATTTAAACAAAATAATAAACAACTTATAATTGGAACTTTATTATTTAGTATGTATAATGAATAACGTTCTTATAAATTGATTTTTTTATTTCTTATTTTTATTATTATTTCTTTTAGTTCTTTTATATATTTTTGTTATTATATTCTTATTTAGTTATAATATGTTTGTAATATAGATAGTGTTGGGTTGTATGTAAAATGAATGCCACTATAACTGAAGTTAAGTTTGAATGATTTTGGTGTTCTTGTTTTTTAAAAGTAGTTTTCATTGAATAAAAAAATATTTATCAGTGGTTATTCTAATAAAATATAAAATAAATGTGATATATGACATGACACAATATTTATTACAGATATATATATATATATATATATATATATATATATATATATATATATATATATATATATATATATATATATTTTTATAGTTAAAGACACTGCAACCTCTTCCAACTGGTCTTTTGTAAACAATTTAAAAACTAAAAATTGCATGCATTTTGCATGACATAAAATGTTGTATATGACATGACACAATATTTATTACATATATATATATATATATATATATATATATATATATATATATATATATATATATATATATATATATATATATATATATATATATATATATATATATATATATATATATATATAAACAGTAAATTTATATTTTTATTTATTAATTTTTTTAGTTTTTAAATTGTTTACAAAAGACCAGTTGGAAGAGGTTGCAGTGTCTCCAACTATTAAAATGATTTTTTCTGGAGCAGTATGTATTTAAAAAATGATTGTAAAATTTATAATTATCTGTTAGTAAGCAACCGGGATTGATACTTGACCACGGCCAGGGCTAGAATTGATAAAATGTAGCCGGAGCACGGTTGTGACTAGGGCTAGGCTTGTGATGGGGGTTGCATAAACATTTATACATCCTAAAGTTTTTTTTCAAAATTCATGTTATATTTTGTATATATATGCATATGTAAACATCATTACGATTAACATGATCATCATAATCATAAGTCCAATCATCATCATCTGATCATCTTCTTAATCAGCAAATACTACATCATATAATTACTAAAGTTTATATAAATATGAAAGGATTTTGTGTGCCATGATCTAAGTAGTTAGCAAACATATATGTTTATATCCATAATATGTATGATACTGGAAGCTTTTGTTCCTTCTGAAATTTTTTTTCCTGGAACGTTTTACACCATCTTGAGCAGTTGCTTTATTAAACCGTAATAATTTTTTTTACAATAACATCTCTTTCTTAAGAAAAAATGTCTTATTATTGTTCTAAGAAGCCAATGTTAAAAAATCCTGTCTGATATTAAACTCTGTTACTCTCTAAATCTTTTCTCAGATGTTGGGTTCTTGAGACTTTTAGTTAGTCTTCAACTTTACAATTTCATTAACTTTACATTAACATTAAAGTAAGTCTAACATTTAATCTCTAATTCATGGGTCTGGTCTTCTTCACCACAGAATAAAGAGTTGTTTGCAACAAATCTTACTCTTATTTGACTCTTGAATCTTATGGCCATACTATTCCTGCCAGTTCAACAGATTAACCCATTGTTAAACATTGAAATCACTCGGGTCCAGTGCTAACTTTAATTCTCATATAAACACTTCTACAGTTTGTGCTACAGACAAGATTTCCATCATAGTCTTAAAAAAGTTTTCTCTAGAACTCTCTTCAATTTTTGCTAAACTTTTTAAAAGTGCTAAACAAGTGGTTCCAATTTTTCAAAACTCTAGAAAACACTCTAACCTCTCTAATTTTCCTATGATTAGTCTTCACTATGTTATTCGTTTATTTATATAAAGGTTTTGAATTTATTAACTTCAAACTGAAGTATTAAAGTTATTCTACACTCTTCTATATTTCAATTAACTTTAAGGGTACCAAAATTTTACATCTAAAGTGGCTCTATTTGCTTACAACTCAACTTTATACTCTTGTTTTGACAAAAAAAAACTTTCACGTTTTGATTGCTTAGAATAAGCAGCAGGTTTTTAATCTGATTTCTCTTCTGTAACAGCCGAAGGTTTGCAGTGCAAGGCTTATAGATTTACATTCTTGACTTAAAATTCCAATTTTTGTTAGACAACAAAACTCATTTACTGCAAAAAAAAATTGCAATAATATTGGCATTATGTTGATGAATATATATACCTGCCACTATATTGATGAATAACAATCCTCTTACTCTCAGACAAAGTCTAATAGTAAATTGTAAATGTAAGTAGACCTGTTTTTTCTGCCAAGCTTGAGCCACTCTCCCATTGTTGTAAGATTGCATTTCTTTCTTTTTTCTGCAAATACTATCATGGTCAATGCTCAAATAAGCTATCATCTCTATTACTATAAACCAAAACTCATTCTTGCTTGGCTTCTTATTCAATAAGTTACATCTTTTTACTGTATTTGTCCTTTCATGGTATAAAAACTTTTATTAATCCAGTTTTTTTCCTTGCATATAAAAAACAACTTATAACTCTTACCCATCTTCATGTTTTCCTTTTTTATACAACCTACAACTTTTTAAATATTCAGTTAACCGTTTTCTAGTATTTTAACTTATTATTTATTCTAAAGTAACTCATAACTTAATAGTGGTTGCCTGCAATCTTGTTGGAAGTAAATTAGAGTTTAAAAATATATATATATATGCCAGTGTTTAATGAATAATAAATGTAAGCATAAAATTATAATATGTTTTTTTAAGTCCAGCTATAAACCCCTGGTAAACCTTATAATTTTGCCAGAACCAGGTATGCAAAAAGTTTCATTTTTAGAAGGGACAGGGCTGAAGCCCTAGTCACTTACTATATCTGTTAACAGTTTTCAAATTCCACTTTTTTGTACATATTTTTGTTACACACTCTCATTATTATGATGTTATTTTCTTTTTAATTACACAGTTTCACACACAACATTTACAAAGCTAGTGGTTCTATAAAAAATTAAGGAAAGAATAAATTTTAGAGTTGTCATCGGCTAAAAAGGTCTGAATTACTATTTTTAATTTTTTAAAAAATATGTCTAATTTTGAGTTGTAAATTTGGTATCAAAAGATCAATTAAATTGTTTATATTTGGCATTGGGATCAAATTTCCGAAAATCTAAGAAGCAATTAAATTGATTCTGTAATATATATATATATATATATATATATATATATATATATATATATATATATATATATATATATATATATATATATATATATATATATATATATATATATATATATAAATTCATAGAAAATGACTCATCAAAATTTTTTTTGTATTCAATACTGTGTTTCATCAGAAATAATAATAATAATCAAATTAATAAAACTTCAATTTATGCCAAAAATTAAATTACAGGAAATCGCAAATGTCTTAACTACTGCAAATTTTCACACATTTGTGGAATATGTTGACACTATTATAAAAAGAACTATTTAGAATTAATTACTTCTGCTTTTTTAAAAAATAATTTTTAAAAGGGGCAGATTTAATGTAACAATTACTTGAGCTCACTTATTTTTATAGTGTTTTAGCAGAAACTTATTTTCGTACCTGCATTTAGAAATTAATTCCGATTTTTTTTTTTAAATAAAATTCTTAGTTTGCACGTGTAATAATTTTAAGTTTTGCTTGTAGGCATAGTATGCAATTTTTGGAAATATTATTAAATGCAGGTGCTGTACCAATTCAGTATAAAATCATCAATATTTTGATGATTTTTTACTGAATTCAGTATAAAATCATTGTATATATTTTGACAGCATGGTGTCTTTTGAATACTTTTCATTTTTAAAGGATTGAAAAAATGTTTTTTTCCATTCACACCAATATATTGTTTATCATGAACATTCTTAGAGGAAAATATTTTGCAAATCATAAGCAATCATTTAAAAATAAATAGTATTCAAAGACACCAAAATATATATGGGAATTAAAAGATAAAAATATCAACGATTTTATACTGAATTGATTGTTGTCTAAATTGAAAACCCTTAAAGAACCTGTATCTAATAGCAATTGCTATAAGGTGACATGTTTTGTTTGTGAAAATTAGGTTTTTTATTACGTTATAGTTTTAGTTTTATAATTAATTTTACTAGTTTTTAAAGACGAAATAAAAAAAGCAATGCTGTTTTCAAGACCTGTTCTGATAAAATTCAGAGAGTTCAAATCTGAGCTCAAATGAATTTTCTTCTGAATCTTTGGCTGAAGATGATTTGTTAAAAAATAATTTTAACAGAGCAATTCATAATGACAATAGTTTTCTGTGTAGTGATTCAGACGATGAAAACCAAGACTGGCTAAGTTTACAATATTTAGATAAAAGACTCCCTAAATGGAGTAATAGTTTTGATGCTAGAAGTAGAAAAAATAATCAGTTCAATGTTGCAGATGCAAAAAATGAAAAAGATGGTTCTGGTTCTGTTGAGTTAAATGTTGACTTTGATGATGGTAAAGACAAGTTTTATATGACTTCATCTGAAGAAGATAAGTTAATAGATGAATTTCTGATATGGCTGCAAAGCATTGAGGGTGGTATCAAACCACTTTGCACTGCCTTGAAACATAAAATGTTGTTTTAGGAGCTGTATGCCATGCAGCAAATGACAATGTAAATTGCAAGCATCTTGGATGTATTTTTTTTCTTGGATGTTAAAGATGCAAAAAGATGAAAAGCAGCCAGGAACAAGAAAAACATATTTATTTTCTCTACAACTTGTATTAAACTTTTTTATTTCTAAAGAAAAACTTGAAATTATTTCTAATGAAGAATGTTTCAAGTTAAAAATCTCTATAAAGTGAAAGCATAGTTTGTGAAAAGATATTTAGGAAAGACAGCATGAAAAAGACATGTATGATTTCCACAACTTCCTCTCTTCTGAATAAATAAATACATTAGACAAATCTGACTACGTTAAAAGTGCAAAAGATGCTAATAAAGCTTCTAAGTTTTCTAATTTTATTATTACAAAGTCCAATTATTTTTGGTCAGGTCTTATTTGCTTGCATACACCTTTCATAATAATGTCACAAGACCAGAAGCTTCAGCCAATATGACTTTTGGTGAGTTTTGTTAAGCATTTTATAAAGAAAATTGTTACACAGTCATTATTAAAAATTTAAAACATCGTATAAAAGCTAGTATTTCGAAAAAAACTCAATGGAATTTCTCATCCACAGGTAATGGAATTATGTTTTTAAGTTATAATGGACTCATTGATGATCACTACCCAGTTTCATTTGTTTTGGAATCGTGCTTTAGGCAAAAAAGTAAAAGAAGTTTTAACTAGAATGACACCAATATTAGTAAGGAAATTTACAACAAAAATATATCAAAGTTTTCCCTGTTTGAAGCAAAATGTTGCACATTATTTATGTCACAGTTTGAAGTGGCTTAGAGCTAATATGCCTTATTTGACAAATGTAATGCCGTATCAAGCACAATTAATCAACTGTGTTTAATTAAAAGATCATTAACAGATCAGCAGAAAAAAACATGCATTTGTTTGAACCTGAAATAAAAAAGGGTTCTATAAAAGTAGTTGATGTAAAAAAAAGTTGTCAAGTTATTCAGAAGTTGTATGTGATGAAAAGGTTAAAAAAGTAGTTGATAAAGTTTGATATGCAATCTAAGCAGTTGTCAGGAACAGAACCTAATATTGACTATATTGATTTTGTAAATGAAGTTTCTTGTACATTAAGCTCCCCTATTTCACAAGAAATTCGAAAAAAAGAAGAAGGTTACGTTACTAAAAGAAGTGACAATATTGAAAGTTTGATTGACGCTGCTAAGGAAGTTGATGTATTTAAATCTGAAGATTTTAACCTAGATGACTATATTCCGTCATCTCCAGATAATGCATGATAACAGATCTTTCAAAAGAAGCCGAAAAGAATTTACTGAAGAAGATAGAAAGCCTATTTATTTGCATTTATCTAACGTAATACATTCAAATGAACCAATAAAACAAATTTGTATTATCGTTAAAGAAAGCAGAATTAGCGGGTCTTGTAAAAAAGTTTGATTTGCTATCGATAAAAATGAGAAGAAACAATATAAACATTTTGTAAATAGTCTTTTTACTATTTAGGTGTCTTCAAATAAAAATGTTTTTACTGGATTTTTTTTAAGTATGAAAAATTTAATAGTTTTGATTTGTGGGGCAGAAGATGAAAGTAGTTTGTTCATTTCTGCATTTATTATGTTTGCAAATAACACGTTGTGTTATTTGCAAACATAATAAATGTTTTTTTGTACAAAAATGTTTAGTTGTACAAAAATGTTTTTTTGTACAAAAATGAATAGTTATATACAAAAAACTTTTTTAAATTTAGGCAATTACTTGACATAAGCCTCTTTTATCATTAAGGAACTATTATACTACACAGGAGAAAGCAGTATTTTTTATTTTTATTTTTATTCACCTCCTCAAGGCCGAGAAGGCCACTACAGATGAGGAGGCTACTTATTTGTGGTTATAACCCTCTCTCAACTCTATAACTCCGAAACACGAACCTTGACGAACAAGGCCGCTGCGCGGAGAAGCGAGTTGAGCGCGGTACTACCAGGGACGTGGTGGGAATTGAACTCGGAACCACTCGTTTATGAAGCGAGCGCTCTACCACTACACCACTGCCGCATTTATTTATATATTTATTATAGTATTTGTGAATCAGGTACTATATATGTGACTTTTTTAATTCAGGTACTATGCATGTAAGATTTTTCTTTTAAAGTTCTGTTTTGATATTTTTTATAAACTTTTTAATTAGATAACGTTTAATACAAAAGTCGCATTCATATCTAAAAACAGGTAACGTGACACCAGGTTTTTAAACAGGTGAGTTTTATCGCATTTATTTCAATTTTATTTTATTAATGATTGTTTTATTTAACTAATTTTTGTTTCGTAAATACCTAATATTTACCATTCAAATTTAAATATTTTTTGTAAATAAAACATTAAATCATCGGATTTAGTTGATGAACCTATTGAACCTCGGATTTAGTTGATGAACCTATTGTCTACTGTTGAAACATGATTTGATTCAGTAAATTTTTATTATTTGAATTTTACTGTATTAATCATTAGTCAACAGTTAGCGAGAAACTGGTGCTCTACGTAATTGAGGTAAAATTAATTTTGTTCACTGGTAACATTTCAAAACAGTTTTTGTGGTTTATTGTTTTATATCTATATTGTGCTACTATATTGTTTTAATGATAGATTAATTGATGAACATTTCAATCGTCACCGAAAATTGAATTTTCCTGTTTGTTGCAGGTAGGTTTATAAAATTTATGTTTATAAAATTTTAGATAAGCAAAATTTAATTTTTTTATCTTGGTATTGCGATAATACTTTTTTTGCTTTTCATTGAAATTAACTGTTTATAAATTATTCCTAGGCTTGTTTTCCTTTAATTAGGAGTATGGTAGACTTAAAGAAGCAGTTCATATCTAAACGACACAAACTGTCAAAAGCAAGAGAAATAAAGAAAAAAACAGTTTTATAGCGACAGAACTTATTTTAATTGAATAAATGTTCAAAACTTTAGTTTAGAAAATATATTTTTTATGCATAATGTTGTACAAAGTTGTTTTGAGTCAAAGTTGTTTTGAGACCTTTATCGGTATTGAAGCAAATAACAATTTAAAAATGCCTTAAATCTGAAAGATCTGAAACAGAATAAATCGTACACAGTACGTCACAATAAATTACAAAATTAAGATAATTCATCTGTACTATATTGTATATACTGTTATAGTATTATAATAATCTGTAGTATATTGTATATACTGTTATAGTATTATAATAATAGCTATATTTACCTTTCCTACGTTTAGCTGCATTAAGCAAAATAAATTACAAAGAAAAAATCATATTTTTTTAAATTCGTCTTTCATGCATATTTATCTGCATTAAAAATTAACCGAGTCGCTTGTTTCCTTTTTTTTTTTAATGAGGACGAGTGACTACTTGCCCAAGCTATAGCACAATTCATGAATAACGCAGTTACAAGTTGTTAAAGCTTTTATATTTTATAAGGAACTAAAATAAATGTTTTGAGACAACCGGAAACTAAAAGAAAAAACTTGAAGAAAATGGAGATTGAATTAACTACGAGGTAACTGACTCATTTGCGCTTGCTTCAAGCAAACATCTTAGTAGGGCACTACTAAGATGTTTGCTTTCAACAACGTAGTAAGGCACTTTTTAAGGCGGTTTTTAAGTCGACAAATAAATAGGTACTTAAATTTACATATCTGTGCACTTATGGGGCTTTACTGGCCAAAGAGACAGTTGTGATTAATCTCAACTTAAAAGTTATTCCTATCAGAACTGAATAAGTCAAACATGCAGTTGAAAATGTAATGTAGTTATCACTGATAACTATATAATTAAAAAGCTATAAATCGAGATTGATATATTGATAAAAAAAAAAAAAGCACCTTTACAACTCAAAACTAATCTCAGAGTTCTACTGCTTAAGAAAGGTAATGAATTACTTAAATAAAAAATTTTCGGAGAAAACTCAAACAAACAAAAAAAAGGTCAATCATGTTCAACATACAGAATTGTCCTCATCCTACTCAATATCTAATTTTTTGAAGCAATATGCAAACCAATTCTGCTCTACGGCTGTAAAAGTTATATTCTCATGTAAATACTTTTAAACTTAAGCACTTAGTAGCATTTTAAGGCACAGCTACAGTTAATCCTAATCTAATCCTAAGAATTAAATTGACCTGGTCAGCATTCAGTTAATATTTTATATAGTAAAATTCAATCGGTTTAAACTTCATATTCAGCAACTGTGTTTTGTAAGATATTGCATTATAAGAGACTCAAACAATTTTATTACCCAATACATACTGTTGGACTGTGGAGAAAAACAAGTTGGAGCAAAGTTGTAAAGTAAACTGAAAACAATATATCTCCAATAAAATCTGCAAACTTATCAATAGTTAAGCGCCACAAAGAACAAACAAGATCCGAAATGTCGCAAAGCTCAGACATGCTTGATCTAGCACGGAAAACATTTAAAAAAATTTGATTACTGCAAACCCACCCTGTTTGCAGCCGTTGATAAGGGTAATGATGATTGGCCATGGAGCATCAGCAATTTTAAATCATTTCGTTTATTGACTTATTTTAAAAAAACTAAATAGGGTCGAATAACTTAAAAGACACTTTTTAGTTAAAATGATATTATTTTTAACTATATATAATTGTTTGATGTTCACAAAACAGTCACTTTACACTTAAAAATAAAAAAATTTCAAGTTTTTTCATTTATAAGCTACACAAAAAATGTGCGCCCCCATGCCACTTAAACTCAGAAATTTAGGTAAATAGTTATGTTATGTATAATTCAATAATAACAAAAAAGGTTTTTTAATTTATTTAGTAAAATAGTAGAACTGGAAAACTTTATTAGAAAATTGAACTACTTGCGCATGTAAATGCGGAAACAAAAAAGACATCAATTTCTCGGTTTGTTCATTCGCCACTGAAAAGTTTTCACAGAGTCAACCCGATTAAACACATTTCAGTAACATCACTCAAGTAAATACGCGGAAAAAAAAATTACGAGTAGTAGAAAAAAATTATGAGAGGAAAATATAAAAACTGGTGGAACTATGGTACTTTTAGGGGGAATTTACTAGGTTTTCAGAAACAATTATTGTTTGTTAGCGATATTAATTCATGTCGAGGGGAATCATGTTTAGCCCCTATGCTACGCAAGTAGAAGAAACATGTTAGAAAAGTGTTATTTTTATAAACGGTACAAATCTTCCAGGTAAAAAAAAATATTTGAAATAAAAATAATATTTATTTTGAAGCATTTTTAAAAAAAATTGTTTAAAACATCGTTTTTACGCACCTCTTGCCTCTAATTCAAATTTCGCAACGCGAGGGCACATCGGCAACGGTTATAGTAGTAGTAGTAGTAGTAGTAGTAGTAGTAGTAGTAGTAGTAGTAGTAGTAGTAGTAGTAGTAGTAGTAGTAGTAGTAGTAGTAGTAGTAGTAGTAGTAGTAGTAGTAGTAGTAGTAGTAGTAGTAGTAGTAGTAGTAGTAGTAGTAGTAGTAGTAGTAGTAGTAGTAGTAGTAGTAGTAGTAGTAGTAGTAGTAGTAGTAGTAGTAGTAGTAGTAGTAGTAGTAGTAGTAGTAGTAGTAGTAGTAGTAGTAGTAGTAGTAGTAGTAGTAGTAGTAGTAGTAGTAGTAGTAGTAGTAGTAGTAGTAGTAGTAGTAGTAGTAGTAGTAGTAGTAGTAGTAGTAGTAGTAGTAGTAGTAGTAGTAGTAGTAGTAGTAGTAGTAGTAGTAGTAGTAGTAGTAGTAGTAGTAGTAGTAGTAGTAGTAGTAGTAGTAGTAGTAGTAGTAGTAGTAGTAGTAGTAGTAGTAGTAGTAGTAGTAGTAGTAGTAGTAGTAGTAGTAGTAGTAGTAGTAGTAGTAGTAGTAGTAGTAGTAGTAGTAGTAGTAGTAGTAGTAGTAGTAGTAGTAGTAGTAGTAGTAGTAGTAGTAGTAGTAGTAGTAGTAGTAGTAGTAGTAGTAGTAGTAGTAGTAGTAGTAGTAGTAGTAGTAGTTAGTAGTAGTAGTAGTAGTAGTAGTAGTAGTAGTAGTAGTAGTAGTAGTAGTAGTAGTAGTAGTAGTAGTAGTAGTAGTAGTAGTAGTAGTAGTAGTAGTAGTAGTAGTAGTAGTAGTAGTAGTAGTAGTAGTAGTAGTAGTAGTAGTAGTAGTAGTAGTAGTAGTAGTAGTAGTAGTAGTAGTAGTAGTAGTAGTAGTAGTAGTAGTAGTAGTAGTAGTAGTAGTAGTAGTAGTAGTAGTAGTAGTAGTAGTAGTAGTAGTAGTAGTAGTAGTAGTAGTAGTAGTAGTAGTAGTAGTAGTAGTAGTAGTAGTAGTAGTAGTAGTAGTAGTAGTAGTAGTAGTAGTAGTAGTAGTAGTAGTAGTAGTAGTAGTAGTAGTAGTAGTAGTTAGTAGTAGTAGTAGTAGTAGTAGTAGTAGTAGTAGTAGTAGTAGTAGTAGTAGTAGTAGTAGTAGTAGTAGTAGTAGTAGTAGTAGTAGTAGTAGTAGTAGTAGTAGTAGTAGTAGTAGTAGTAGTAGTAGTAGTAGTAGTAGTAGTAGTAGTAGTAGTAGTAGTAGTAGTAGTAGTAGTAGTAGTAGTAGTAGTAGTAGTAGTAGTAGTAGTAGTAGTAGTAGTAGTAGTAGTAGTAGTAGTAGTAGTAGTAGTAGTAGTAGTAGTAGTAGTAGTAGTAGTAATCTCTACGAGCCCTTATGTTACAAAACGCGTGCCCTTGGCGTTACTTTTGAGCCCTTATGTTACTCAAAGTGCCCTTATGTTACGCTGAAGCCCTTATGTTACTTTTTAGCCCTTATGTTACCGCAAATCGGTAGCGTAAGGGCAAAAATAGCCCTGGTACTACATTAAAAGGTAGCATAAGGGCACTTACCTTAAAACTCAAACAAATGTGTAAACGAGCAAATTTAAATATGGTAGAGTTTCGCTTGTAGTGCGGTGATCGATATTGCTTTATCGTGTATGTTTTTATAGAAATAATTGTAATTATGTTTAATTGTTTAGAAGTTTTTTGTATAAGTTTTTAATCATTCGAAAGAAGGATCTACTGTTAATATTGTCAGTATTGAAGCAAAAAGTTTTTTTTTAATTTATTTTTTACAGACTTGTTCTTCAGTTGAACCATGTTTAAAAAAAGTTTTAGAGTTGATGAATAAAGTTAAATGAAGAAAAAGAAGCTAAATTAGCACACAACAATATTGGTCTAAATGAATAACAAAAAGTCTTATCACCATCAAAATGACAATCCAAAGTTGAAAAAAGTTGAATTGCTTCACAACCAGGAGCAGTATGTAACATGACTTTAAATGAGTTTGCAATAGCTTTAGAAAATAATGATAGTTTTGTTGTGAGTGCGAGAAAGCACATTAAATTCTTAAAGAAATGTGTAATATTATTATATATTACCAATATGTTGTACTAGTAATATGAAATATATTGCTAATATTTTATTTCACATTTTACTTGTAATATGAAATATATTTTTAACAATATAAATTAAGATATAAAATAAAAGTCATGATTTTTTCATTTAATTGTAAGTTTTCACTTGCGTTTCAGCATGAAGTTACAAAATTTAAATTTTAGATGTTAAGTCATCTTTTTCATCAATTTAATCTTTAGTTGAATGTTAGTGATCATATTTTTAAAATTTATTACATATAATGTTATTAAATCAGTTATTTAATAATAATAACTGTTATTATAGTTTTTTACATTATTATAAGTGTCTTACTATCCATTGAGAGTTAATGTGATCCTTTTTAAGCATTAATTTGCGACTTATTCTTATAGGGTATTATAAAGATAGCAAATTTGTTTGTATATCATAAACATGCAAGTTTTGCATAAATTTTATGCATTGTAAAGTAAATATGATTCTTTCTAATAAGTATTAATTTTCAAAAGGTTTT